AAAACCGGAAATCGATTGAAATTTCCTAAAGAAAAACCGGAAATCGATTGAAATTTCCTAAAGAAAAACCGGAAACCGATTGAAATTTCCTAAGAAAAACCGGAAACCCATTGAAATTTCCTAAGAAAAACCGGAAATCCATTGAAATTTCCTAAGAAAAACCGGAAATCCATTAGAAATTTCCTAAGAAAAACCGGAAATCCATTGAAATTTCCTAAGAAAAACCGGAAATCCATTGAAATTTCCTACAGAAAAACCGGAAATCCATTTAAATTTCCTCAGAAAAACCGGAAATCCATTAGAAATTTCCTAAAGAAAAACCGGAAATCCATTGAAATTTCCTAAAGAAAAACCGGAAACCCATTGAAATTTCCTAAAGAAAAACCGGAAATCCATTGAAATTTCCTAAAGAAAAACCGGAAATCCATTGAAATTTCCTCAGAAAAACCGGAAACCCATTGAAATTTCCTAAAGAAAAACCGGAAATCCATTGAAATTTCCTCAGAAAAACTGGAAATCCATTAGAAATTTCCTAAGAAAAACCGGAAATCCATTGAAATTTCCTCAGAAAAACCGGAAATCCATTGAAATTTCCTAAAGAAAAACCGGAAATCCATTGAAATTTCCTAAAGAAAAACCGGAAATCCATTGAAATTTCCTAAAGAAAAACCGGAAATCCATTGAAATTTCCTAAGAAAAACCGGAAATCCATTGAAATTTCCTAAAGAAAAACCGGAAATCCATTAGAAATTTCCTAAAGAAAAACCGCAAATCCCATAGAAATTTCCTAAAGAAAAACCGGAAATCCATTAGAAATTTCCTAAAGAAAAACCGGAAATCCATTGAAATTTCCTAAAGAAAAACCGGAAATCCATTTGAAATTTCCTAAGAAAAAGCGGAAATCCATTGAAATTTCCTCAAGAAAAACCGGAAATCCATTGAAATTTCCTAAAGGAAAACCGGAAATCCATTGAAATTTCCTAAAGGAAAAACCGGAAATCCATTGAAATTTCCTAAAGAAAAACCGGAAAAAATAATCCATTAGAAATTTCCTCAGAAAAACCGGAAATCCATTAGAAATTTCCTCAGAAAAACCGGAAATCCATTAGAAATTTCCTCAAGAAAAACCGGAAATCCATTGAAATTTCCTAAAGAAAAACCGGAAATCCATTTGAAATTTCCTAAAGAAAAACCGGAAATCCATTGAAATTTCCTCAGGAAAACCGGAAATCCATTGAAATTTCCTAAAGGAAAACCGGAAATCCATTGAAATTTCCTCAAGAAAAACCGGAAATCCATTGAAATTTCCTAAAGAAAAGCCGGAAATCCATTGAAATTTCCTAAAGAAAAACCGGAAATCCATTAGAAATTTCCTCAGAAAAACCGGAAATCCATTGAAATTTCCTAAAGAAAAACCGGAAATCCATTGAAATTTCCTAAAGAAAAACCGGAAATCCATTAGAAATTTCCTAAGAAAAACCGGAAATCCATTGAAATTTCCTAAAGAAAAACCGGAAATCCATTAGAAATTTCCTAAGAAAAACCGGAAATCCATTAGAAATTTCCTAAGAAAAACCGGAAATCCATTGAAATTTCCTAAAGAAAAACCGGAAATCCATTAGAAATTTCCTAAGAAAAACCGGAAATCCATTGAAATTTCCTAAAGAAAAACCGGAAATCCATTAGAAATTTCCTAAGAAAAACCGGAAATCCATTGAAATTTCCTAAGAAAAAAATGGTTACGAAAAACTCTCCGAGGGATGATCCCAGCGAAATTTCCCAGGAACTTGTGTAGCCACCTACCGCGTATCGCTGAGCGGTGTCCAACAGCTGCTGTTCGCCCTCGAGGGGCGATCCGTGGCGGGGGACCTGGGGGGGTTGGTGGCGAATTTGCAGCAGGTGCCGGCTGAGAAGGTGCCGGCGGAGAAGGGGGTGTGGTTTGAAAAGATATGGAATTCAGAACAGAAATAAAGGGGAGGTATTATTTATGGATAAATTTATGGGTTATCAATATTGTGTTACAGAGGGTGTTGTTATGAGTAACGCGGGGAGTATTGATATAGAATCGAATGACTAATGGGTTGGTAATGGTGGGCCCAGTGGGTTCATGGCTAGCGGAGAAGATTCAATCGCAACGGGTTGTGAGTAGTGTTTTTTTTTTTTATGGGTCCGGTGTGTCCAAGACCAATGAATGGTTATTTACTAGGGAGAATGATGATCAACCAAGGGATTTGGGATACCCTATCTTCAGACAAAGCCATATATCAATGTGCAATAACGGGTTAATTGTGATGAACAGAACTGTGAACAGAATATTGATTTTGGATTGCCAAAGGGTTAAATTGGTTATAACCTGCTAAATTACAATATACAGATGATAGACACCTCTGTTGAAGAATGGATCTATTTGGAGATCCAAGATAAATAGATTTGGATATCCAAGATAAATATCTTTGATTTTATTGATATCGGATACCTTCCGCACAATCCGAAAGTCCTACTTTTTTGCCAACTGGCGTAGTGTTTTTTTCGCATGCCGCATTTCAGATGCCGCAACAGGTGGTTTTCAACTGGGAATGTTGCTCCTGCTGCAGCCCCGCGGCAGAACCGCCATGCCATGCCGCGATGCCGATTGGTGGTTTGGGATCACGGTGTTTGGATCCGTTGAACGACGGTTTTGGTCACCTTTTGGATGATGATGGTTAATGATGGTTAATGATGGTTAATGATGGTTAATGATGGTTAATGATGGTTAATGATGGTTATGATGGTTAATGATGGTTAATGATGGTTAATGATGGTTAATGATGGTTAATGATGGTTAATGATGGTTAATGATGGTTAATGATGGTTGATGATGGTTGATGATGGTTGATGATGGTTGATGATGGTTGATGATGGTTGATGATGGTTGATGATGGTTGATGATGGTTGATGATGATGATGATGATGACGATGACAAACATAGCTTTGAACAAGAACTGGAAGAAGTCTGAGGGTCAATAATGACAGTATGCCATGTTGACGTGTCAAGAGATATACCTCAGAATCAGGGTGATCATGTCGAAAACAGGCGATTTAACCAGGTATATCCTGTTAAATTCCAATACTGAAACGATGAATACTGACCGGGAAACCAAGATGAAACCCCCAACAAAGGGGCCCTCGAAGACGACACCTTATCCGGGGGCGGACGAAGCAGACCATTCATCCCGGAGTAACATGTTCTGGGGATGCAATGACTATGGTTCTGGCCATTGACAGCTCCAATTGCTTTGAAATCGTTTCTTTTCCTACATCAAATGAACATTTTCGCTGCAAACCCTAGGTTTGCCCGCGGCGAATCCCGCATATCCTTTGACATGCTCAAATCCCTGTGTAGAGTTTAATTTTTTTACTTTCCAAAACAACAAACCCTAAAACCCTAAAACCCTAAATTAAAACCCTAATTCCTGAAAACTTAAGTCAAAATCACTGCGTATAGCCAGTGTTTTCGTTCATCCTCTGGTGATAAGGTGATAAGTATAACATTTTCATGGTAGAGTCACGATTTGATGCTTACATCCCATAGACCATGATATTGTTGGTTCTAGATCCCATAATGTGCCTGCAACCTCGCCCTTGGTTGGTTTGATACCCCCATTCTTGTTGCTTCAACGGCAACTTTCCAGGCATTTCCTGTTTTTTTTCGCAGTTAACTTTCAGTGATTTTGCTTTTGTTTAAAGTTGATATTTTGTTCATATTCAAAGTTGATATTTTGTTCATATTCATAACAAAGACAAGGATTCTTGGTATTTTTTCCAGCTAAACTGGTTCAAAAAACGGGACATCTCTGGGTTTTCCCAGGTGAACGCGGCTTTCAAAGCTTTGGCGCACCCAGCTGCGGCGAAGCCACTTTGAAGCTGGCAAAGGTGGCGTTGGATCGGGGCGACTTGGCAAACAAGCAAGAAGGACAGGGATATCCGGTATTCATAGAAGATACTCTCCAGTAAATTAACATAGACCCTGCCAGAAAACGGGGTTGGAAGATTAGTTTCCATTACAAATAGGTGATTCTCAGGGTCTATGTTTATTTAGCAGAGGGTAAATAGTGGGATCATAGGATAATCATGGATATATAATCAAGGATAATAGTGACATAGGATAATAGGATAAGACATGATAATCACGGATATTCTGGATAAAGGTATTATAGAAGAATGTGACTTGAGATAGGATAATAGTGGGATAATACTGTATGAGAGGATACAGCAATCATAATAAATCCAATAATAATGGGATATGGGACATTAGTGGGAAATAAAAATCCTATGACTTCAGTTAGATCATGCGAGTATCCTCATTTTTTTTGGTTACATCTCCAGCTCTTCACATGAACCCCCCCCCATTATCTGTAGGTCAATTGGCTCAGAAATTGGGCCCAATCCAAACATCCAACTTCGAGTCAAACCAGGATTTTTGCTTCGTTTTTTGAGGAATTTCTTCAGGCACCCAGGCCCAGGCACCCTTTTTTTTCCAGCTGAGGATACATGGTGATGTTCAGTGACTTCAGTTTGAAGGCCCTCATTGCCTCTTGGAAGTCCGTCGCTCGACGTTTCAAGAGTCGGGAAAACTGTTGGATTTGGATGGGAGGCGACCCGGCCATGAGGCCATGAGGCAATGATGCTTCAGAGGGGGGAACCATACCAAAAACGCCATACCATGGAAAATTTCAAAAGCTAAGAGGTGAAAAAAGGCCAAGATAAAAAATGGAAACTCAGGTGGAAAAAAATGACTTTGACAGCAACAAAAACACCGTGACTTCAAGGGCTGATGGAATTGTTGGCAGCACAGGACTACTTCGGTCCCAAGCCCTTTCAACAGACGGGCGGCTGCAGCGGTCAGATCCGATTGAACTTTGATCCTGAAACACTGCCACTCGGTAGAGGGTGGATGAGCCATAAAAAAAATAGCCTGGTCGATTGGTTAATATACCCTCTGGTTATGTCAAAATAGCTATTGAAAATGACCCAGTCGAAATGGTGGATTTACCCATTGATAGCATGGTGGATCTTTCCAGTTCGGCCAGGGGGACAGTGTATTGACATGTAATTATACCATAATATACCATATATGATATATGCCTTGTCAATGGGGGGTAAACCATCAAAAATGGGGCTTGAAGTACTTTTTCTGGGGATGACAACCAGGGTTTTGATACAAAATCTTGGTTGATACCCACGTCATCCCGCTACGAAACTCATGTCACGGATATTTGAAGCCCATTCCTGTTGGTAAAAACCAACCCCATTGATTTACCCATTTTTACCAACCATTTAATGTCACCAACCAATGATAGTTGGTAAAAAAAACCACATTAAAACTGCCCCCATCTTTTTTTTGCAGAAAATTCATGGACCGTTGGTCCATGGCGCTGACCCAATCTTAGACTCTCCACCATTGGAATATCGTACACATGCCCCATTCTTGGGGGATATTCCATGTTATTCCCATGTTCCCAAGATCAATCAATCATATGGGTGTGTCTGAAAATAGTGTACCCCTAAACCCAATGGTTTTGCTGATCATTATCCCTATTAAATGGCTATAATTGGGAATATACCCTATTTTCAGACAAACCCATATCAAATCGATTTTCTGTCACAAACTACCGTTGTTTTTTTTAAAACAAGACCCAGATTGGTGATTTCACCTGGCCATGTGAGGAAGAAATGTTCCTCGAAACAGTTGGCCAAAGTGGGTGAACTTTGTGAAGAAGGGAAAGCTGCCACTGTGGCGGATTTTGGACATGTTGGATCACCAGACTGGTGTTTTTTTTTTTGATGTTTGTTGATCCCCAGATGTTGGGTTTCTTGTGGATTTGGAGATGAAGATAACAAGCTGAGGTGGTGATTTTAAGGAGCATCGCAAGATCATGGAAAACTCCATGTTCTAGTTTTTTTTTTTTATGTGAACAGAAGGGAAGGAGGCAGCTCTGAAACGGAAAGGCAGCGAGTTTTCAACGCATGGAAAGCTGCTGGTTTTTTGTTCATGGTGAAACCATGGCAGTAACTCGTCAGACGGAGATCGGTTCTCAAGTAAACCGTGAGGACTTCACATGGATTGTGGCTCTGAAAACATTCAAACACTTATATAGGTTTCCTTTGGTTTCTATATTATATGAATTCCATGAATTCCATGAATTCGATAAATTCGATGAATTCTATCTAATCTATCTATCTATCTATCCCATCCCATCCCATCCCATCCCATCCCATCCCATCCCATCCCATCCCATCCCATCCTATCCTATCCTATCCTATCCTACCATCCAGACATCCCAAACAGCCCAGCAGGTGATCCATGCCGCCAGCAACACCATCGTCTACCAGCTGCTGCCCAGCGCAGCACAGGAGGCGGAACGCACCAAAGCGTATCGCATAGAGGTGAGGATGCTGAAAGGGTCCCAAAAACCTCTGGGAACATGGTGATTTCACCAAGAAACATGGGAATTTCATGGGAATTTCATGGGAATTTCATGGGAATTTCATGGGATTTACCCTCTGGTAAACATACAAAAAACGATGGAAAGATCCACCATGCTATTAATGGGAAAACTCACTATTTCGACTGGGCCATTTTCAATAGCTATGTTAAATTACCAGAGGGTATGGGTGATGTATGGGTGATGTATGATAGCTAAACTTGACGCAAATGACTTGTTTTTTTCAAGGACCTTTTTGCAGGGTGTCACAATGATCAACCAGGTGTTTTAGAAACTAGTTTAACATGTGCAAATAAAGAGCAAACGTTTGAGGATGTGCTAGGCAGCAAGAAACTAAGTGGTCAAAATAACCACCATAAACACATAGGGATAAGGGATTCAAAATCAAGGACTGATTTTTTAAAGAGTCCAAGACAAAACATATATTTCTCAAGGGTCAACAAGACACAACAGAAGATTTTAGGGGATCACAGAACTATTTTAAAGTGTGAAGATATCCAGCTATAAATGTAGGGTATCCACGATTGCAAGGTTGGTTGCATCGAGTTAATTCTTTGATATGCCTTGCGGTTGAACCACTAGTTATCCAAGATGGATATCATGATTTGGGTGTTTCCAGTGTTTCTGCTAATTTGGGCAGCTTTTCACCGTTGATTTCCCCATAAACATGACTTAAGTTTAATTTTGGATGATCATTTGGGGTTCCCATGACTGGGAAGGCATCCATTTTATCAGTCCTCGGCTAAGTCAAATTTTTTGATGGTTAAACCTGGCTTAGAGCCCCATTGAGGGGATCCTGCTTGAATGGACAACAGGAAGCCCCTAGGTTTTGCAGTAACTATGGTTTTCAGTTTCGATCTTCCCTAAAAAACCAATCCAGGGAAATCCTATGGTTTTTGATGCTTAAAGCCACAGAAAAACCAGCATTTTTCGTGGGTAAGATTCCATCACCAAAGAATTTTGGATGGAAACTTGCTCCACCTCAACCTTGCGAGGTGCTCACCACCGTGTCCTGCCCCAGCGCCGCGGCGCATGCGGGTTATGGCGCGGTCTACGGTGGCATCAACGCGGCGGGATTTTCGCAAGCGCCCAGCAGTCAGAAATCCATGGGTCATGTGCTGTTGACGTATCTCAGTGGAGGAGAATTGAGTCATTGGGTCTGGGAGTTTATCATGGATCTGAGTCCTTTTTTCATAATGTTAAAATGATGATTCCAAGTAATAATATATGATTCATATGATGATATTAGGATTAAGGATCTGAGTGGCATTTTGGTGTTAAGGGAATTCGTATGATGATTCATGATTCCGAGTTAGTTCCTCGAACTGCTTGTGTGAAAGTTGCTTTAGTGAGTTTTTCGCTGACGTTGTGTTTAGGCTTAAGCCAAGGGTTTTGTAATGAGTTGTGCCAAGTGCCACCAGTGTCCGGCGTCTGACCCAGACACTTGGTGCCTTGGCTGTTCTGGCTGGGAGGCCCTTGGGTGGGAGCTGACATCGCGCTGGCACTCTCCTGGGTTGAGGGAGTTGGCAAACTCCCAGATCATCAGCGCTGTCAAGGCGGTGCGTGCGCTGAGATCTGTTTCCACTGGGCTTCAAAGCGCTGGGGATTCCCGTGCCGCTAAAGCCAGTGGATCCCAGGAGAAGGCGGCTGCGCCAGCTGAAAGGGCGCCTCTCCCTAGGCCCAGGGAAGGCGATCACCCAAAGGGGCCAGAGCCGGTAAAGGAGCAAGAAGCTTCTTCCGGTGACAGCCAAGAAGATTCAGAGGAGTCTTCTGGAAGGCCTGGGACAGCGCCCAAGAGCAATCCAGCACTTAGGCCTCCAGAGCCGGAGTTACCTCCGTTGCCCAGGCGCCCTGAGAGCTCAGCTAAGCGCAGTTTGCCTGAGGAGGAGCTAGCGGCCCCAGAGGTGAAAAAGAAGAAGAAGAAGAACAAGGACAAGCGAGACAGAAGGGGAAACAGGGCTGGTAGGAACCATCCCCGGCTGTACCGAGCTGTTGACAACCCAAACGCACGTCTGCATCGACGTCTTCCTGCCAACTACTGGGATACACCTGATAGGATTGGCGACCTGGGGATCATCGCAGAGACAGGCGAGATGGACGTTGAGCCTGGGCAGCTCTTCACTAGTGAAAGATGGGAAGAATGGACTGCCTGCGCATTGCAGAGAGGAGACATCTTGGAAACAGACATTCCGGTGTCGGCGGATCCCGCAGAGGGAGAAGGCATTTGTGCTTTCTTGGTGCAGAAGGTCAAGGTGACGTTGGCTGGCGATCTTGCAGTGGTGGTCAAAAGCCTGGGGTCAGATGTGGCTTCAATTCAGCGAAACATGTCGCTGGCGTTCAACCGAAAGCGAGGCACCTTGCACCTTTGTGGCGGCCGTTGCATCTATCCAGAGGCTCACACTTTGCATTTGAGTCATTTCAGGCTGTACAACTACACCAACTACGAGGCACCGTTCATCACTGCCTACACCAAGAGGGCTATGACAAAGTGGCTCGACGAGGATCTGATAGAAGTGGAAGACCAGATAGACGAGTTGGAGCTCACTGGAGATTCTCTCGAGGAGTCTGCTGTGGGAGACAAGAAGAAGTCAGAAGAGGAAGCAAAGAAGCCGAAAGAACGCAAGGCAAAACCGAAAGATCCAAGAAAGAAGAAACAGGCAGAGGCAGCGCCAGCTGCCGTTGGAGGAGATGGCAAAACACCAGGAGATGGACCTATAGATCGAGCTGCCCTGAAGGAGAAGCTGGCAGGGCTTCGTGCAAAGCTCCTGGGGGGCGTAGCTGCGCCCTCTGGGATCCCAGTTGGGCTGGAGCCGGATGGTGGCGAGGACGAGGAAGCTCGCAGCGGGGAATCTTCCTCGCGCGGTTATTCTCCCTCACCTCTGCCCGTGCCCCTTCAGAGTGGGACCCATCTTCGAGCGCTGGGGGAGGATGGCCCGTGCGCTGGGGACCACTCGAAGGAGACGAGAGAGAAGAAGAAGAAGAAGAAGAAGAAGAAGAAGAAGAAAAAGAAGAAGAAGAAGGCTTCAAAAGACAAAGGAGACAGGGAAGCCCAGAGGCTGAAGGACGCAGGCCTGTTGGCCATAAAAGATGGTACTACGAGCAACTTGCAGCGCCAGTTGGTAGCTCGCGCAGCAGATGCCGCTCAGAGGAAAAAGGCAGAGAGAAAGCACGAGAAGAAGAAGTCCCACAAGGTGGACGCTCCTGCACAGTTATTGAGGATCCTTATGGGCAAGAAACCCCGCAAGAAGAAAGAGGAGGATGGAGAGAAGAAGAAGAAGAAGAAAAAGCGGAAGTCCCAGGACAAAAAGAGAGGACCTCCAGGCAGCAGCGATTCAGGAAGTTCAGGAGGAGGCAGCTCTCCGACGCCCAGCTGGGACGATGGCTCCAGCGAGCACTCGGGGGAGAGCGAGTCGGAGTCCAAAGAACTGGATGCTCCCTTAAAGCGCCGGTCAAAAGAAAAGCCAGGCAGCGTTTTGGGACTTCTGGTGGAGCACGCCAGGCAGCAGTTGGATCAAACTGCCAAGGTCAGCCTTCATCAAGTGTCCAAGGACAATCCGACGTTGGGGGTGAAGCTGACCAGTTACTTCTCCATCGTGGTGCGTCCCCGCTTGGGGGCAGTGACGGCACCAGTGCGGGAACTCCACTTGCTGTCCTCAGCGATGGATCTACTCCGACAGGGGGACCTCGACATCTTGGGGGACCTATTGGCCAGTCGCTTTATGTCGGTGCATCAATCGATCATCGACGGAAGCTGGACTACGGCCAAGCACTTGGAGTTGATGCCATTGGAGGAGGAGAGCGCAGCCGGGAATGCTATCATTCTCCAGGTGCGCAAGCATGCTCGTCTGGCATCGCGTCTCCACAACCAGGAGTTTTGGACCACCAACGCCGGCGCCCGTGGCAGAGGTGGACGCGGCAAAGGACAGCAGTGCGGCGACAGCTCATGGCAAGGTGGAGAAAACAAAGGTCGTGGCAAGAAGGGGGGAAAAGGCAAAGGAAAGAACAAGAACTCTTGGCAGGGCCACCAGGCAAGCGAAGGCGATGCGAGCACCAAGACAAAGGAAAAGGTGCCCGAGAAGTGAAGCAGATGAGTGTCTCTCAGGGTTCGCTGGCGAAAGCCGTGCTGGAGCCCGCTGAATTAATGGAGGGAAATGCACATCAAGCGATGGCCTTTACAGACTCTCTGGCATACTGCACCTCCTTTCAACGTACAGGAGTGGTATTATGTTGGTGGGTCATCGCTGGGTGGAAAGATCCCGTGCTTGATGATATCACCCAACGGGTGTGTGAGGAGTGGACTCAAAAGAGATCACGCCAAGCACACCGGGACCGCGCACGTTCGCGTGGTTCGACATTCCCTATAAGAGAGGGAGAATTGCATGAGATGGTGGAATCTTTTCAGTCCCTTAGCCTAGCCAGCGCTGTTACGTGCGCGCAGCTGGCCAGGTTTTGGGTTGATTGCTGGGTGTTTTTGATAGTGCGCAGCTTGAATGTGCTGTCAGGGGCCGTGGCTGGACCTTTTCCGGGCCGCTGGACTCAGATGGAACGCTCTGCTGTGAACAGCATCCGAGCCTCGGTGCGCCGAAAGCGGGGCACTGATGAACTCCGGCCTGCTATGACTTTGGAAGCATGGCAAAAGGAGATGAGCGGGCGGCAGATTGGATACAATGGGGAAGAAATTTCTATTTGCCATAAGCTTTCTTGGGATCAAGTCATTCCTGCTTTACCCCCTGAAGCTCATGGAGGTTGTATTTCTGCTTTGGATTGGGTAGGACCGCAAACTCAACGTTTCTTGTTAAACCCTGAACTTCTTCTTAAAGAACATCATGAAGTTGAACTCCCGCGAATGCCTGGAAGGGTTCATGTTGAAGAGGGGGACAAGCTGAGAATAGCCCAAGAGCTGGTCAAAAGGGGGGTTTGTCGCTGGATCCCACTGGAATCTGTTTATCGCGTGGGGACAACCCCAGTGCTGAATGGCCTGTTTGGAGTGGAGAAACCCACAAAACTGGCGGATGGTAGGGTTATTCTCCGGTGTATTATGAATTTAACTGGGTCTAATGCAACTCAATGGCAACTGGAGGGTGGAACTCGGTCACTTCCAAATATCACGGCATGGCAGAGTGTGGCTCTGAGTGATTTGGAAGAACTCACGATGTTTCAATCTGATATGTGCAGTGCTTTTTATCTTTTTAGACTTCCAGTTTGCTGGCTTCGACATCTGGCTTTCAATGTTATTTTTCCTTCATGTATTGTGGGCGGCCCTGAGAATTGCGAAATGGCACTCGCTTGTCAAGTTTTACCGATGGGCTGGTTGTCAAGCGTTAGTATCATGCAGGAAATTTCTGAGAAGCTGTTGAAACATGTTGCTGTAGGCCCGTTTAATCAGATTAGCCGCGGGAGTCCCTTGCCATGTTGGTTTTCTGACATACTCTTGGAAGCTGACAAAACAGAAGCTTATTGGTGGCATGTGTACTTGGACAATTTTTGTGCAGGGGAGCGCACGTCACCCTCGAAACCTGCTGAGAAAGGAAGATTGTGTCATGAAGCTGCTGAGAAAGCATGGATGCAAGCGGGCGTTTTGAGCTCGGAAAAGAAGCGCGTATCTGCGAGCAAGAGAGTTTTGGAGCTGGGCGCAGAGATTGATGGAGAGGCTCAAACTTTGGGCGTAGGATGCGAGAAGCTGTTGGACACCATTCTTTGTACGTTGTGGCTGGTGGGACAGCCTTTTATAAATCGAAAGCATTTGCAGATAGTCGCTGGTAGGTGGGTCTTTTTTTTGCAATTTCGGCGTCCAGGCATGAGTTTTCTGCAGAAGACCTGGGCGTTCACTGGGGGAAGTCAAAGGATCACTGCAAAATTGCGTGAAGAGGTAAGGAAAGAGCTCCTTTTTCTGGTTTCAGCTGCACCCCTTTTTCACTGTTTTCTTGGAGCAGGAATTTGCAAGCAAATTGTGGCAACTGACGCCTCAGAAAAGGGGGGTGCTGTCGGTTTTGCTGAAGAACTGAGTGCAGAAGGTCATGATTTTCTCCAAGCATGCCGGAAAAAGGAAAGGTTGCAGAATGCTATGACTATCCCTGTCTTAGTGCTGTCGCTTTTTAACGGCATAGGCGGGGCGTTTCGTGCCTATGACATCCTGGGTGTGCAGCCCCTTCATCGGATTGCGGCCGAGTTGGATGACGGCGCAAACAGGATAACTTCCCGCCGCTGGCCTGGGACTCTCATCGTCAAAGATGCGAAGCTTATCAATGAGGCTATGGTGAAAGAATGGAGCAGGACTTACACTGACATCTCTGAGATACATCTATGGGGTGGCTTTCCTTGCACGGATTTGTCAGCTGTTAAGGTAGGACGCTGGAATTTATTGGGCAGTCAGAGCTCTCTGTTTTGGGAGATCCCTCGCATAAGCAAGCTACTGAGGGAGCATTTTGGAGAAGCGGTTTTGCTTAAAGAAGTTTTGGAGAACGTTGCTTCTATGGACAAATCAGCGGCAGAGGAGATCACAGAAGCGGTAGGACATGTGCCATACAAGCTTGATTGCGTACAGGCTGTACCCATGAGGCGACCCAGGTTCGCCTGGACAACTGAAACACTTGAAGCCCTTGCACCTGATGTGAAGGTGATTCCGCGGGGTTATTTCAAAGAAGTTGAAGCTTACTGTGAATATCCAGATTTGTCACAATGGCTCACCCCGGGTTACGACTGGAAGGGGTACGCAGATGGTTCCGTTCTGCCAACATGCTTAAAGAGTATACCAAGAGATTTTCCACCTCCCCGTCCAGCGGGACTCCAGAAATGCGATCCAGCTTGCCGTCAACGTTGGACAGAAGATCAGTACAGGTACCCACCATATCAATACCAAGATCAATATTTGATCACATCATCTTCTACCTGGAGACTTGTCAATGCGCGGGAAAAAGAAATTCTCCTGGGTTATGGAGCAGAACACACAAAAATAGCATGGTCAGCCTCAAAGCAGAAGCAAAATCCCATCGGATTCAGTGACGCACAGAACTCATATCTTGGGGACTCTTTCAGTATTTACTCCTTTGTTCTACTGGCTTTAGCTTGCTGCAGGAACTTTGTACCCCAAATGCCGTATGGTTTCCTTTGCAAACGAATGGGCACTGCACCAGGGTTTTGTGCTCACTTCCGCAGTATTGTCCCTTTGTGTCGACATTTGGCGTATGGTTCTTCTCCCCTTCAACAAGATTTGATTGATCTGGGAATGGATTTGCTCAACCGCATGCTCCTTAGGCGGGTTAACCATACTGGTTCTGATATACGGGTTGTTTCAGGGGAGATCATGAATGCTAAGAGTTATCCTCGGCAATCAGTGTCTGCAGCTTGGTGGCATTGGAAAGACGGGTTCAATCAGCGATGGCAGAAGAAAGCTCACATCAATGTTTTGGAATTGGAAAGCATTCTCTGGGGAGTCAAATATCAACTGGAACGTTTCAAAGTTGTTAATGCTCGTATCTTCCAACTTTCTGACTCTTATGTTTGTATTAGTGTTGTTGGAAAGCGGCGCAGCTCAAGTGCGCAACTTCAACGGGTCCTTTCAAAGTTAAACGCCCACTTACTTGCTCATGGACTGCAATTAATCATGGGTCATATTGAATCAACTGAAAATCCAACTGACTTTGGGTCGCGGCGCTAATGGTTGGATATGTCCTCGCTGGGAAAGTTTCCCGTGCAGAGAGACGGCGGAAACGAAAGTCAATAGTATTGGAAGATGCTGCATTGTCAGATAAAACCCAACGACGCTATTACAGTGCACTTCGAAAGCTGACTCCCTGGATAGAGAGAGCCACTCATGAAAATCAGTTAGATAGCATTGTTTGCTCTTGGATTCACCATATGTGGAAAGACGGTGAACCACTGTTGACAGTAGGAGATGCTCTTTCTGCTTTTCATTTCTTTGAACCTTGGTCAAAGCGTAAGCTTCCGCACAGCTGGAAGCTGTTTTCAGTTTGGAGGCGAATTGAAATCCCTTCAAGGGCTCCTCCTTTAACCTTGGAGCTGGTTCGATCTATGGCGTCTTTTGAGCTTAGCTTGCAGCACCTGGAGATGGCTACTCTTTTACTGTTGTCTTTTCACTGCCTTCTTCGCACGGGAGAAGCCCTCAAACTTAGGGCTGTTGATTTCACCTTGAATTCAGAATTTGGAATTTGCTCCTTAAAGGAGACTAAATCAGGAAGACGCAATAGTGCCAATGAAGCCATCAGTATCACTGACCCAGTGGTTTTGGACGTGGTTTCTACTTTATGTGAGGTCCGCAAAGGACTTGGACAGGAGATGCTTCCTTTATGGTCGGCTAGTGGATCTGCGTTCAGAACTCGTTTCCGAAACTTGTGCATTTCATTTGGACTTCAACGTCATTCTTTTAGACCTTACAGCTTGCGTCGTGGTGGAGCTACGCACTGCTTTCAAACCTCTCAATCTATGGAAATGGCATTGCTTCGTGGACGCTGGGAATCAACAAAAGTGGCTAAGGTGTATATCATGGATGCCTTATCCTACCTTCCTGCAATCCGCCGTACAAGAACCACCACAAAAATGTTGAAAAGATATCATTTTTGATCTCCAACCAGTTGGAGAGGACGCGTTGCTGGGGTGCATGGATGAGTCCAGCTGAAATTTCTTTTCGCGCTGGTTTTCCAAAGCTTTGTCACCCTTGTCCAGGAGGGAAGTTGTCTTGTGCCTCATCCAGGAGGTTTTCTATGAAGGAAAGTTGTTTCTTTTAGATGTACCTCGTCCAGGAGGTGTTTTACAACTGTCTTTAAGCCTAGCAAGGGTTGAAGCTAGGCTAAACTCAGGCGAGACGACGTGTCTCACTCTCAGAGCCATCGTGCTTGGCGATAAAAAGAACGGTGCAGCTTGATCACAAGTTAGTTCCTCGAACTGCTTGTGTGAAAGTTGCTTTAGTGAGTTTTTCGCTGACGTTGTGTTTAGGCTTAAGCCAAGGGCCCTCCACGCCCAACCCATGTGGGTAAGTGGGTCCGGATGAGTCCAGCTGAAATTTCTTTTCGCGCTGGTTTTCCAAAGCTTTGTCACCCTTGTCCAGGAGGGAAGTTGTCTTGTGCCTCATCCAGGAGGTTTTCTATGAAGGAAAGTTGTTTCTTTTAGATGTACCTCGTCCAGGAGGTGTTTTACAACTGTCTTTAAGCCTAGCAAGGGTTGAAGCTAGGCTGAACTCAGGCGAGACGACGTGTCTCACTCTCAGAGCCATCGTGCTTGGCGATAAAAAGAACGGTGCAGCTTGATCACAATTAATAATATATGATGATGAGAATTGAGCAGTGCTAAACGACACCCTGGTTGATGATTAGTGAGGTTGGATTGTACTAACCAAAGAAATATATGGGAGATTACCCTCTGGCTATTTAACATAGCTATGGAAAATGGTCCATTTATAGGGGATAAACATCATGGTTGACCTATCCAAAATGGTGATTTTCCATAGCTATGCTAAACAACCAAACGGTATCACAAATCCATGAACAGGGAATGCCAGTGGAGAACGGATAGGTTTGCAGATTTATCGAAAAATGAAGGTTTGTGGATGGGAAGATTTTATCGAAATATTGCTGGTCGATTTTGAATATTTTTTTGATTGGGAATTCAAAAAGGAGTGTTTTTTTGTTTAAAGTTATTTTCAGGTCCTAAAAATGGCTGTAAGAGAATGTCTCCAAACTTAAAACTTGGGAGATGATATTGGGTGCATCTATGATTCAATCTTATATGTACAGCCAACCGATTGTGGGTGTGGTAGCTGATTAAATGCTGTATTTTTGCTGTTTGTGGCAGGGAAAATCATGACCATCCAATTTTGGAAGTAGCCTATTTACAGACAAACCCAAACAAGCGACTGGAGAATTTGGGTTTATCAATGGACAAAATACGTATCAAATCCATTGGTTACTCATCATGGTCCCCATAAAAATTACAATAAGATTAGGGTATGTTCCATTTTGAAACCAGTTTTTGTGTTATGGGTGATTCTTGGTGGCCTAGAAACACCTTACATTTTTTTTTCACGCGCAAGTTTAAGGATGAAACCCTTGGCGAATTTGGTGTTGGTTTTTTTCTGGATCAGCTCGTTGGCGTTGTTGGCGCATTTTGGTCGTTGAAAAATCCATAGAAGAGTCATTTACCAACTGTTTCAGTGGGATTTTACCAACCCCCATATTTTTTTTTGGGTTTTTTCCAACAAAATCTCCACGATGTTCGTTTCGTTATTTTAAGGCATCCCATCTGCATCTGCAGGACGGATGTTGACTTCTGCAGGGCATTGGAAGGAGTTGGTGCATCTGGGTGGTGTCTCTGAGGATGCCTTGCTCCGAGTGGCCGAACGTTCCTCACCTGGGAATCCTGGGATCAGCCGAAACGAAAAATCCTTGTTTCGGATGGCGAGCGTTTCGAAAAAGGCAATATTTTCCACGAGAAAAGATGTTTTTTCCAAGTGCTATGCTTCAATCTCTCACTTGTGAGTTGATCTCTGCAATCTTTGGGTATTTATTGTGGGTTAGCTATCAATTTTGAGTTGATCTCTGCGGTCATTTTTCGTATTTTTAGTAGTTTTTGTTGGTGAATATGACCCATCCCTGGTCATTTTCTGGGCATTTGGCTTCGCAGCGTTTCGCCGAGGTTACTATGGCAAGGAGTTCAGCAGCAATCTGGGGATGCAGTTGACGCTGGCCATGGCAAGCTGGGAAATCTCACGAAATGGGCATTTTTTCCACGGCAAAATCCTCGAAGTAGGGTGATTTAATGGTGATTTAATGGTGATTTAATGGGATTTAATGGAATTTATTAGTATACCCTCTGGTTATGACTAACATAGCCATGGTTTTTCGATGGCCCTAATCGAAATAGATGGTAAAAACCTATTATTTTCATGGTGATTTTCCATGGCGAACTGTTAAATAACCAGATGGTAAATGGGACATTTTCCATTCTCACTTTTGAACATTGGCTACATTTACTTAATGGGACATTTCTATGTTTAAACGGGACATTTTCCATTATAAACAGAAGACCCTAGTTTTTTCAAATGGAACCTAGGATTTTTTTTCAGTATTTGATAATGGCTATTACCATGGGTTCCACTGGGTGTACCTGAAACATTGGTGGGCGAATATAAGATGGGCACCAAGGATGAGCGTTCTCGATTTCCATAAATCTGCAGGATTTTTGGCAATTTCCAAGAAGGGATTTTTTCAGCGGATTTGATCATATTTATCATGCACTTTTTGAACGATTTGCTGGTGGTTTCTGGTATTCTTTATTTTCGCAGGAATGGAACGTGCCCCGGTGACATCCATAGTCTTTGAATTTGAGCGAGGTGACAAAAAAAGCCATGGATGTCAAGATATGGCTTCGCAGTTGGCCACTTACTGCCACTGCAGGTTCAAAATAGGTCAGTTAGGTCAGTCCATTGATCATTATGGTGGTTATTAACCTACCCTTTATATCCCTTTATGTTAATTGGCAGTTGGCATATCAGGCACATCAACTGTGAATCCCCAGGAAAAGCAAGCGATCCTTATAACTGGTCCCATAGCCATTCCACCATCCACCGAATCCACATGTTGTGCTTAGCAAGTTGATGAATCTATACCCGTTTCGGTTTGTGATACAGTAGATGAACAAATTATTCGAACCCCGCATCCATGAGTTGTGGGCTACCCCCTGTCCCCCAAATTTCAACGTTATGGTTCCGTATTTTTGTTCCTGATCTGGATTTTTTTTCGTCCATTCGAAGGAGCAAACCAAACCCAAAAAACAACATTGTAATTGGGGGTGCGGGGGGTTATTGGATTACAAGGGTTTGAATAATTCGTCCATCTGCAGTATCACGGCCAGTATCATGTGTTGTGGGTCAAATCCACATGGTTCTTGGTTAGATCCTATTTGTAATCCCCGCTAATATTGAACAGCCACCAGAAACCATGGTTTAGTAGGGGATGAAATCACATAGTTTGAATTTTGAAGGGGGTAAAAAATTAATATCTCTAAGCGTTGGTGCTAAGACTATCTGACGATCGCGCGTTCGTTTCTGATTTTCCCCGCTATTTTTACTTACCACCATGGCTCGTGGGATTTCCCGGCCATGGCTTGATGGAAAATCCACCATGGCGAGTTCGATTTTCAACTGCCACGTTTGATTACAACCGCAGGGTATATCCCCATAATATTCCGATGGTTTATCCCACTATAGTGGTTAAATGCATATATATATATACACATACACATGTACATGTACATTTACATATACATGTACATTTACATATACATGTATATATACATGTATATATCCCAAGATATTCCCCAATCATATCCCCATCAACCCCTCTGAACAGCGTGCACTTTGATGTGAAGTAAGTCGAGACGAGGAGCTCTGTTCGGATCGTGGCAACCGCCCTTCCTTCAAACCTGGTGAACCCTCATGTGAAGTTGGTCGAGTCGTTCATGGATGATACGTGCCGTGGGAAGCACGAGTGGACCGTTGAATTTGACTCGACCTACAAGAGGGCACCTGGTGGAGGCATCCACTTCTGCAAACAGTGCGGGTGCCTTAATGAGCTCATGCAGACCCAAGTCCAAGGTGAGGGCGAGTACGGCGCGTCGTTCAACCCTGAAGGTCGGTTGCTTTGGAAAGCGCACGTGACGAGATGGGGAGAATCATTCACCCAAATGAGACCGAGTGAAGCTCGTGCACGCTCCAATGTAGAGCAAATTTTCGGTGTCATGCACCAAGATTGTCTTCCCAAGCGTGCGATTCGCACAGCGCGAAGGCGGTTTTTTGTTTATCATGATGATTCTGAGCACCGTTGTCGCACGCGGGCCGACAGAGTCTGGTGTAACAACTGGATGGCGCACAGGCGCAATGTCTTTTTGAAGGAATTCGGCGATCATCTGCCCTTGCCAGTGCTCTTGCTAGCTCGACGCCTGAAGCCCGTTAAGCGCTGGCGCAGATTTTGCATGGACAAGGATTATCGGCGAAGCCCGAAGAAGTTGCTCAAGGCTTACCCTCGTGAATACCGAGGGAAGCTTAGAGCACTGGTAGCCGATATTCGAACTCTCGATCCTGAGGTGTGGCATAAGGATTGGAATGTTAAAAGAAGGCACGAACTTGCATTTGAATACGGTCGCTTTCTGACCAAAAAACAAGTTGAGCGCCTTCTAGCCTGCCCTGAGCATCCAAGATCCAGCCAATAGAGTCAATGAGTAGAAATCATCGGTTTGATTAATCATCAGTTTTTGATGGAGTGATGAATCACCATGGTTTTCAATGTTTATGCTCATTCAAAGTTTTAGCTGTTGTTCGTGGACGTTGCGCTGGAAGCACCTGCAGGATCGGGAGTGTCGACTTGTGAAAGCTGACGAAGGTGAATGTCTGCGATGAACCATTGTGAGATGCACAATGTGGAATGAAGCTGGCCTTAAACTAAAGCCATGCTGTGTTTTCATGAAAATTCACCTTCGTCAATCTTTTGCCGGGACTTGCCTCAGTCAGTTGGTTGGCGCCGAGGCGTTTGAAGGCGATGCTTCTGACTTTGGCAAGTGTTTCACTCCTATTTTGCGTCTCCGAATTTTGCGTCCGAGTCATCAGCAAAAAGCATTGCGAGCTCGAGCTTCGAGGCGGGGAAGCCTGAAACGATGAAGTTGTGCTACTTGTGGAATGTTTATGTTGGCACGGTTGGTTATTGCTAATCGTTCAATTTATGACGGTTCATTTATGTTGGCACGGTTGGTGTTGAACGCTGTGGTTTTTCAATTGGATCAGTCGGATCTTCAAACCAAAACCGGGACCTATAGTTTGGGCAAATGTGTCGAACGAATTGTGTTGACTCATAGTCGGGAATTTGTGTGGGTTTTGCCTTTGGGTTTACTTTGCTTGTTTTTTTGTTTTTTTGTTTCCCCCCTGTTTTGCACGTTGCCGTCTGTTTTGGGGTTGAGACCCGTTGTCCAACCTAGCGGGGTTTGACATATATGTTTGAGATTATGGCCCTCTGCTACTGGCAATTTTGGGGTTGACAAGTTGTCCAACCTAGCGGGGTTTGACACATATGTTTGAGATTATGGTTATGAGTCCAACAACACAGAGAATATAGGGTTTGACAAAAAAATAAAAAAACAAAAAAATAACAAAACCAGAGCAAACAAAAAAAACAAACTAGAAAACCAAAACCAAGGAAAAAACAAGAAAAAACAGAATAAAAACAAACAAAACAAAAACTGCGGAAAATGCAGGTTTTGTTTTTTTTTGTTTTTGTTTTGTTTTTCTTGTTTTTTGTTTCTTCTGGTGATTCTTCCTGTCGATTTATTTTTTTTTGGTGATTCTGTTTTTTTTTAATTTTTTGCTAAAATCCACTTTCTCTGTTCTACACGGGGTCATAAGATTATGGCCCTCTGCTACTGGCACCCGACATCGCTGGGACCAAGGCAGCAATGTCCGGACGTGGGCAGTCGGATGCAGATGCAGCAAGCCTATGCCCAGCAATGCGTGCAGTGACCTGTCAGAAGATGGCTGGTTGGTTTGGAACATGAATAATGGTTAATCATGGGATAATCTATATTAATAGTGGTTAATAGTGGTTCATAGTGGCTGATAGTGATAATCAATGATTAATATACTAGTTTTGGTTGGTTTGGAACATTTTGTATTTTTCCATTGGGAATCTCATCATCCATGGTTTTTGCCCAATGGATGGTTTTTGCCCCTTTTTTTCGGCAAACCCGTAGTGTATCAATACTGGTTGGTGCTTTGGAACATGAATTTTTAATTTTCCCCAGTTGGGATGATGATCGAATCTGACGAACTCCATCATTTTCCAGGGGGGTAGGTATACCACCAATTAGCTATGGTTGTGAATAAAGAAGAAATGGTAGACGATTAGACGATCTAAAATAGCCCTATCATACTATTCCCAGTGTTTATCCGATTATAGCAGTTAAATGCCTGTATATCCCCATGATCTAGTTTATCCCCATGATAATATTCCCATTATAGTAGTTAAAGTCTTTATGCATAAACAAATACATATATAATGTATGTATGTATGTATGTATGTATGTAATGTATGTATGTATGTATGTATGTATGTATGTATGTATGTATGTATGTATGTATGTATGGTATGTATGGTATGTATGTTGTGTATGTTATGTATGTTATGTATGTTATGTATGTATGTAATGTAATGTAATGTACTGTAATGTAATGTAATGTATGTATGTAATATATGTATGTAATGTATGTAATGTAATGTAATGTAATGTAATGTAATGTAATGTAATGTAATGTAATGTATGTAATGTAATGTAATGTAATGTTATGTTATGTATGTATGTATGGTATGTATGGTATGTATGTTGTGTATGTTATGTATGTTATGTATGTTATGTATTGTATGTATTGTATGTAATGTAATGTAATGTAAATGTAAATGTAAATGTAAATGTAAATGTAAATGTAATGTAATGTAATGTATTGTATGTATGTATGTATATATATATGTATGTATATATGTATGTATATATGTATGTATATATGTATATATATATGTATATCTATATGTATATATATACACGTATATATATATATATGTATAAATACATATATGTGCATACTGTATATAGTATTAGTTATTGTGTAGTACATAATTGTAAGTATTTTCTCATAATAAAAGTCAATCCAGTTGTACATATTATAAGTTGGCGCCAAACCCCACGTTCAGTGGTCATGTCGCGTTCAGTTGACTTCCGGCACGGTCAAACATCCAGGTCCAGTGCCCCATACTGAGCTCCGGCTCCAAAGGCTCGGCTCCGAAGGTGGAATAGAGGGGGGGGTCATGGAACAGTATGGAAAATCATAGAATTTATCATAGAAAATCACATTTTTTTGGTTGTTAGATTAATGCGTGATAATAACCTGGTAACCTGGGGTTCTAAGCAATATAGATTCATGGAAGAATAGAATCTCGAATAGATTTTGTTAAACGTGACCATGGTAGATTCATGGAATACTCCCAGTTATATAGATAGAATTGTGGGTTATCTATCTATATGCACAGGTTGTAAAGCACTAACAATGCTTGGGATGCACATACAAGTTGGTCAGCATAAACACAGCACCACTGTAACAACATTTTAATCTTCGGAGTTTCGAAACCAACAAATTGGGTTTGAAAACTTGTGATTTGCGATTAAATTCCGTTGCAGACAAGAATTGGACTGGAATGATCTAGCTGGCACATGTCCATTTGTGGATCATTTACCCATTGAACAAAGAGTTTTCACCTTGCCAGGTTGGATTATTGTGAATTCTTCATATCCCATCCGATCAGTTTTGTTAGTGGTACTGTACATTTTTCGACCTTTTTGGAGTTTCCAAATCCTAAAATTGAATACACCCTAAGAAACCCCGGTATTGTTCTTTTTCTATTTTTTTTTGGGCCCACATAACATAGGGGAATTTAAGAGTAGGGGGCTGGGATAATTGTATTTGATACTACATGATTTTCTCCTCAAATGGGCTGAACATTTTTCAATCTTCAGGGAAGTCATAGAATCATAGCCACTTTGGGTGGGAAATTGGGTACTTTTGCCTTTTGATTTGACCAAGAATCCGCGAGTATCTGGGGTGGGAGCAACCCTGCCAAATTCAAGGTGCCAGTGAGGACTCTGCAGTGGACCGCGCTGGCAGAAAGAGTCGGGTCTTGTTGACAGCAGACGACTGGGGACTTCAAGAATCCAGAATCATTTCAAAAGTTGGGTTTTTCTTGAATCATAAATAAAAAACAGAAGAGATCAAACAGATTGATATGATTAAAAGCATGGGTTATTTCCGAGAGACATGATCATAATTGGAGACACTTGGAGAAGAATTGACACATACCCATCTCTCATTGGAAATTCTGGAGGTATTCTACGTACCAGGATTCTAATCAGATGAGATACTGCAAGAGAAGGCTTGCCAGAAGACAAGGCGAACAAACCACCATGAAGGGTGGTTGGATGAAAGTTTTGTATGATCCTTCCACTTCGTGATTGGTTGATGCATAGTCTTTCTTACAATCCACCAAAGCTACGCCCCAGGCCTTCGCCACACATGGCCATATATTCCTAGCTTGGGTCCGAGTTTAACCAAATCAACAGGAAAGGAAGATAACCTGTAGAAAGTTGTTTCTGCCCAATAAAGTTCATTCTATCAATAGGAACATCACTAGAGCTTGGGCGATTAAAATTAAAAACTTGAAATTCTTCGGGAATGGCTCCGTATTTGCTATTTTTGCATTAATCTTTTCAGCCAGTTTTGCTTCATCCAATCCTACTTTCGGGACAGGACGCATGATCCATTAGCTCCATTAGCTTCGGGTTCCCAGAGCTGAGACAGGCCCATGTTGCATCAGTGCTGTTCCTCCAATCTGTACAGTGCTGTGAGGAACGCTTGTGCGAAAAGACGTCTTTTTCGGGGGGGCCCCACGGGGGAACGGGAGATGGCTAGAGTCGGCTATGGTAATGCGGGTGACAGCCTGTAACGCGGGATCTGCCCTCTGGTGATGTGAAAATAGCTGTTGAAAATGGCGTTGATTTACCCATTAAAAACTGTGATTACCAGAGGGTTTGCCATGTTTTCTATCCCCAATGATGAAAACCATTTTGAGGCTACCAGTAGATTATCACCAGATTTTCCACAATTATTCCAATATTTTCCCAATAATAATCATTCAATGTGTTCCCAATAATTTTTCTCACACATTTTGGATGATGGTTGCCGTGGATACTCAGGGTGAGGATTTTGCAGCGCGAGTTGTACTCAATTTGGTGCAAACGGCAAACCGGGAAATGCATATTCGTCAACAGGTCAAAAACGATCGGATAATATATGCATATACATACGCATAAACATATGGATATGTATATGTATATATATATATATATCAATCAGGACAAGTTGGGATGTGCACTCCAGCAGCAGTTTCATTTGGCAATCGTTGACGCCATGTTTTTTCAGAAGGACCCTTTGAAAAATGGACAGCCCAATGATTGAGGTGAAACTCTGTGAGAACAACGTGGGTGCTGAAGCCCTTCAGTGCAGCACACCAGTTACAATAGATTGTGAAATCAACTGGAATCAACACGATTAATTAATCAATCCCCAGTTCCCGTTATCATCATCATAATCCAGTCTTTCTTTTCCATCCCCCTTTTATTTTGGTTAAGTACTTCCCCCACAATTGGTTGACCGATCACCAAATTGGAGCAGGTGATCGATCTCGATCTCGAAGAAACGTGTCCTCCGTGACACGCGCAGAAGATCCTCCGTTTCGCAGGTGGATTTCACCAATCAACAGGGGATTGATCTAGTGGAAAACAGGGAAATTGAACAACAACAACAACAACAGCAACAGCAACAGCAACAGCAACAGCAACAGCAACAGCAACAGCAACAGCAACAGCAACAGCAACAGCAACAGCAACAGCACAGCACAGCAACCAGCACCAGCAACAGCAACCAGCAACAGCAACAGCAACAGCAACAGCAACAGCAACAGCAACAGCAACAGCAACAGCAACAGCAACAGCAACAGCAACAGCAACCAACTACAACTACAACAACAACAACCACAACCACAACCACAACCACAACCACAACCAACAACCAACAAC